TGCGCTTCTGGCCCCCGGAGCCCCGAGGCTGCAGCGAGGCCAGACCTGGCAGGCTGAGCCCAGGCCGACCTCTGACCCGGGATTGCAAGCGAGTAATAAAACGGGGTTTGTTTCCAGCCACTAGGTTTTGTATTTTGTGTGAACCCTCACCTGAGAGTATTTTCCCATTGGTTTTTAGAGAGAGTGGGGGGGGGGGGGGGCAGAGAGAGAAGCATTGATGTGGGAGACACGTGGGCTGGTTACCTCCCACACACGCCCCGACCAGGGCCGGGGATTGAGCCTGCCACCCGGGTACGTGCCCTTGACCGGAATTAAACCCGGGACCCTTCAGTCCTCAGGCCAATGCTCTATCCACTGAGCCAAACTGGCCAGGGCTGTGCCACTAGGTTTTGGGGGGCTTGTCACATAGCGGTGGTTGGCATCACAGGCACAGCCCCCCCACACACTGCGCCAGCCACGGCTCCGGGGGCAGGAGGAGTGCACCCTCGCCTCCTTCCCACCCCACAGTCATGCGGGGGCTGGGGCTCTGGACCTGAAGGGACACCAGCCTGTCAGGTGCAGGGCCCTGAGCCCACCCACCCCACTGAGTCCGAGTGTCGGGCAGGGGGGCGGCGGGGCTCGGCCACCATTCCCGGGCCCCGGGGGCCCAGACCTTCTCTCACGCCGTGGCACAGCTCCCCTTCGTAGCGGCCTCCCGCCTTGTACTCCATGACGCCGTGGCCTTGGGGCTCTCCAAAGACAAACTGACCAGAATAGGTGTTCCCTGGGGGGATGAGGAGGGGGCGCGAGGTCAGGGTTGGCGCCGGTTCTGCGTTGCCCGCCGTCCCCTGAGCGATGGCCGGTTCAGGGCGGACCCTGGTTTACGAGGGGACACAGGACCCGGCGGATCCGGACCTGCCCTCTTGGTTCCTGCAGAGCCCACCCCGGGCCCTCGGTGGCCAGCGGTGTCCCAGATCCGAGGGCTGAGCCTTCTCCCACTGGGAACTGACCACCACGCTTGTCCATGAGGGTCTGGGGGTCTGAGGGTCGGGAGGCAGCCCCTGGCCTCGCTGTGGGCAGCACCCCACCCCCGGCTGGCACGGGCTGTGACCCCTCAGGGGAACCAGGGCCCCCCGTTTACAGCCGGAAGTGCCTTCGCACCCAGAAGGGAGATGGTTTGAGAGAAGGGAGTCAGCAGGCTAACCTGTGGAGGTCCAGTGGCGGCGGCCTTGGCCCATGATCTCCCCGTCTGCAAACTCGCCCTCGTAGTAACTTCCATCCTTAAACAGCAGCTTCCCGCGACCTGGAGAAGGAAACGGTGACGTCACGCCCCACAGCGGCCGAGTGCCCGCTGGTGCCCGCAAGCTGCCGGGCTGTTTCTCAGAGAGGAGCGGGAGCGGGAGTCCGCGACTTGAGTGAACGTGAGAAATCTGTGGCAAAAGCGCTACAATCCGTAAAAGCCAAAAGGTGGGGCCCACAGGTACAAGAGCTCATATGAGAGAACACCACAGGCCTGGCCAGCTCTGCTCGTGGTTACAGCGTCAGCCCACGGACCCACGGGTCTCGGTCGGGCCCGATTTCCAGTCAAAGGCACAACCTTGGTTGTGGGTCGGGGTGCGTGTGGGAGGCAAACAGCTGCTGTGTCTTTCTCACATCAATGTTCTCTCTCTCTCTCTCTCTCTCTCCGATCCTCAGCAGAACCCCAGACAGACATGAAACTGGGCGGAGCTGGGGACCCGCTGGGAGACCTCCGGGTGACCTTCACAGACGTCGCTCCAAGGCGGCTGAGCCTTTCTACGAAAGGAGATAAGCTTTCTCGTCAGAAATGAACCATGAAGGCAGCTGCGGTTTCCTGCCTGCGAGGAGGTGGCAGGCCAGGTGTCCCCTCCGACCCCGGTGCCACGCCCCAGGGCAGCTTGCCCAGTGAGCCCCAATGCCTTTCCTGGGCGACAGTGACAGTGTGGGGGCCCAGTCCCACCGGCACCTGGTGCCACCCGCCTCCCCAGCGCCCGGAGGAAAGGGGCTGTCGGCTGCAGGTGGCCGCTGCGGGGAGAGGCCACCGCCGCTTCTTACCGTGGGTCTTCCCACCTTTCCACTCCCCTTCGTATCGGAAGAAGGAATTGGGGTAGGTGTAGACACCGTAGCCTGCATATCGAAAAGGATGCGCAGTGAGCACGTGGCACAGGCAGCCTGGCTGACGTCCAGCAACCCTCCAGGTGGGGTGGTCTGGGGGCGTCTGTGCACTTCCCCACCTGTGACCTCCCGACACGGCTGCCCCAGGCTTCACTCTGGGGGCCAGGACTTGTCCTGTGTACTGTCCACCCCGCCCCCACTGCTTCGTTTGCATGAGCGCCTACTCAGTGCAGAGAGGCAGGCCGGGTGGGAGGGCCTTGAGGGAGGGGAGAGGGGACTTCTGAGCTGAGCCTAATTAGCCAGAGGAAGGCTAGGGCAGGGCGGGGGATGCTGTAATGTACCCCTCGAATCACAGAAGGACGCCTCAAGAAGCCGAATTAAAGAGTCACATTTATTGCAATCTGGGACTATGAGGGGGCATTCCCCAAATCTCATAGTCACAAGATGGTCGCAGCTCCAGGGTTATATAGGCAAAAAATCACAAAGGTATTGATTACATCCCAGGGTTTGGAATGAGGAACCTGGTTTGCAAAAAAAGCAGTTTACAGAAGCAGAAGCAGGATGTTAATTATAGTTTGGGGTCTCAGGGTCACTGAATTGACAGAAACATATTATCTAGAGCCCGGGGGTCTGGAGTGAGGAACCTGGTCAGACTTAAGCATGTGATCTAAATCACAGTTTTTGGGTCTCCGGAACACGAGTCAACAGGGACACGTTAACTGGAGCCCTCTGACCTTGGGGTAACTGTGCTGTCCTTCCCAGGTGAAGGGAAATGTGCTTTCTAAGACCAGTATGACCACGACAAATGGGATATTCACATAATCAATAGGGTATTTAATCGAATGGGATGATTTATATAATTCAGAAAATCAAAATAACTTTTCTATTGTTAAGCAAAGCAAATAAGTACAGAAGCCAAACAGCAGGGTTAAAGTTAAACTACAGTTTCTACCTGAGATGACTGCTACCGTACTTCAGGAAGCTGGCCCCTCCGGCGGCCTCCAGTCCCATCAGGACAAAGCCCTCACTCCGGCCGCGCCGCTGCTGAGCGCACCAGCCCCCACTCCCACTCCCACCCCCACCGGCCCCTGGTATGAGGGGCACAACTTGGGGGGAGGGGTTCTAGGGGAGTGTGGCGTCATCAGACTCCTGCATCTGCCGAAAACGAGGTCAGGTTCTACCGGAAGAGAGCGGAGCGGACTCGGAGTTCACTCCAGTCCCTTTTCCGTAACTCTAAGGACAGCTCCGGTCCAACCTCGGAACCGCGCGTCCAGGCTCGGGCGCCTTCCGGCTCGGTCTCCAGGCCCCGAGACCCCCTCCCCCGCCCATCCCGCGGGGCACCCGCGCACCCGGAGGCGAGGACCCTTCCAGGGCCAGGGGCGACGAGGTCTCCGGGGATACCGACGGGGGCTCGTGGAAGCTCGCGTGGGGACCGGGGCGCGGGTAGGGCGTAGGGCAGCCGGACGCGCCCCCCCGCCCCCAGCCCTGCAGCCGTTACCGTCCTGTGGCGGCCGCCCCTGCGGGGCCCGGCGCTGCGGGCGGGAGCTCCGGCTTCCTTGGCTGGCGGCTGCCATCTTGCCGCTAGAAGTTTACCTTGGCAACCACTAAAGCCTCCTCTATTGGCTCGTTGGTCGCTAGGGGTGTGGTCACGGGCCCAGTCTCTGGGCGATCACAAGATCTGGAGTGGCGTCGTTCGGGCCCGGAGCCAGAAGACGCGCCTGCGCCTGCGCGGCCCAGCGCACTTCCGCTGCTTACGTTCTTTCCGCCGGGAAAAGGCGCCCGCACCGGAAGCGGAAATGGTTGGAGGCTCTTGGCTCCGCCCCGGCGTCCATCTTGGAAGCCCGGAGGCGGCGCCGCGCAGTACAGAGCGGAAGTGCTAGTCTGCCCCTTCCCGGACCGAGCGAAGCACCGGCGCGGCCCC